AATAATAAGGAGAAGGCATTAATTTAGAGTTGGGAGGGGTGAATATTAAAGGAAGATACCAGTTTGACGAATTTTAACAAAAAGTTAGGGGGGACCTGCACAATTCAACAATACATGCAAAAAATGAGTGTGTGGAAGTTGGAACACGCTCAAGCGAAATAAATGGAATACCATTGACTTGTTAACTTAATTACATACTCTGTTCCCTCATGGAAACACAAGTCCATTAACCAACTTTGGAAATCTTGTATCCTAGAAGCATCCTATTCAAGTTATTGAGAATGCAACAGAGAAAAGAAGACTGACCTTTTGATTTTACTTATAATCAGGAGCCCCTTAAATCCAAAACCTTAAAAAATATATATACATATATATATACACATTTATATATTACTAGCATGATTTGTATCTAATTTATCTCATTTTTATAATTTGATTAAGGACTAACTATTCTATCAATTAAACATGTTGATAAGAATAAGAGCATTAAACTTGCAGAATTCAGATTTCAGTCTTATTTCTGTTGCAGCTAGCTTGTTCTTCATTACTTCTAAATTAGATGCTCGAATCAAACAAACAAAACACCAAAATGATACAATAAAACACACATAAATCATAATTTAGCACACAAAAACGGAAAACAGATCATAACTTAACAATATCAAATATGTATAGGGGAAAATGATACTAAGGACAAACTAAGTTTATTGTTTATTGTGTTAGAAGATCAGGGACAGTGAAACTGCTTTTAATTCAACAAACATCCCATAAAATCATTTACTGTCAAAGGACATAAAACTTATGGCTATTTGAATTTCACTAAATTTTGTAATGAATTAAAGTCTAATTTATTTCTCTAATTTGGAAGCATTACGTCATACCGGAGTAAAACATGAACAACATACCATTCAGGAACTGCAGTGTGAGCAGAAAAGTTTTTCTTGGAAATATTAGTCGCTCCCTATTCTAAACATAGAAGCCAGCAACCAAGTCAAATATATTCACATACTTTAGCAACCTAATCGGCAGCCAGTCATACTCTCCATCTATTACCCATTCTGGGTAGAGTATAAGTTATCCCTGTAGAATTTCTAAGGCGTAATCACGAAAGTGGGACATTTTTAACGCTTTCTAGTGTAGTCTGTGTAGATTTCTTTCTTCTTCGTTTTTTTTTTTTTGGGGAACCTTCACTAAATAAGTTTGGATTTATGTAAGTTGCTAATAATTTGTGTATTAGTGATTGTATGAATTTAGATTTAGAAACCTTTCATAATTTTTTTTTTTTTATATATCTGATTATAAACTATATAAGAAAGGATAACCCTCTCTTATTCCTGAAACACTCTTCACCCAATTCAAGATTTGAACTTGAAATCTTCACCTTCAAATCTCAAACTCTTAACCATTGAGTCACCGCATTGGGGTTCCTTTCATTATGAAGCACTGGTTATGATGTTCTTTATTTCTTCTAGACATCTAGGCTACAGAGTGTGATTGGCGATCCAGCTAAGAACCAAGGTGCCATGAATCCCCCCAACACATCTTCGGTAAGGAATTCAAACCCTCTTGAATTATTCTTTGACTTAGAGATAGACAGTAGGTTTTCTCAGTGAAAGATTATAGAATAAGGGTTAGCTTGGTTTGGCGCTGTTTTGCCTCTTAAAAAGGTGTATCAGTTCAGGAGTTTTGACTCAGCGATTGGGTTCCCTGGTTCTGACTTTAGCTTACATTTTATGTTACTCTTTACATTCTTGAACTTGGCTTGCAGTTTAATAATAGTAATAGAAAGAAATACAGGTGATGGAGTCATCAAAAGAAGAGATGCATATTTTTCTGAAAATTCATGAAAGATAGTGTAACTCTTTTTAGTCAAAAAACTTTTTCCATAAAAGCATTATTATGAAAGGACATAAAGCTTAAGGCCACTTAAAAAGAAAGTAGGGTTAGAGTTCCATTACTTATTCCATAATGCAATTTGCATGAATAAAGCATTGCTCTATGTATATTGCTTTTGCATAACTCTCTTATTGTGAGTCACATACCATCTAACCAAAAAAGAATGTAGGGTCAGAGTTCCATTACTTATTTCAGAATCTAACACTATCTTAGAAGCATAAAAGTTAACCCACCACTCAACAAAGCAGAATGGTTCAAATCTTCTTGTTTCCCAGAACCATTATCTGATTTTAAATTATGAAAGTTTTGGAAACTAAGGCTCAACTAAATACTAATAAAACATTTGATAGAAGAGTGATTTGGTTTTAGCAACTTGGTACATTTACAGCCAACTCTTGTCACTGTAGAGCAAAAGTCACAACCACCAGAAAACAGACCATTACTCAATAATATCAAATATGTATAGGGGAAAATGATACTAAGGACAAACCAAGTTTATTGTATTGACAATATATGGTTAAAAGATCAGGGACAGTGGAACTGCTTTTAGTCTAACAAACAACCCATAAAATCATTTACTGTCAAAGGACATAAAGCTTAAGGCAATTGACAATTAAGCTTTCGTATATCACTTTCTTAATGTGATACACATGGATAATCTAGCCAAAAAAAGAAAAACATCTAGGGCCAGAGTTTCCACTACGCAGCTTTATAATTCATGATACCATCTTAAAGTTAATCCATCAAGGCACCAATCAACAAAGAATTAAAGCAAGTTCAAGAGCAGTTCAATCATCCTAAATGCTTTTGCTTCCTTGAACCCTTATCTGATTCCAATTATGAAAGTTTTGAAAATGCAAGGCTCCCTCTATGTACTAATAATTAAAACATCTGATACAAGAAAAATGAGGTTTCAACAACTTTTTATAGTTTTACAGCCAACAATTCTGTACAACAAAGACAACCACCTAAACAGACTAACTTAAAAAAAATCAAATATGTATAGGGCAAGATGGTGCCAATGAAAAAAAGGAAAGACAGACCAAGTTTGTTGTTTACAGTGGAACAGTCCAATGAACATCCCATAGAATCATTTCTGTCAAAGGTCATAAAGCCTAAGCTCTCACATCACCCTTTCAATGTGATAGGAATGGAATCTAACAAAAAAGAAAAGATAAGAAAGAGAAACACCATATTATAGCTTTTAGTGGCTAAGATGTTAAAATGCTGAAGGCTATCGACAAATAATTAAACACCAATGGGACCTGTTCAGATTAAATAAACACTTCATCAGAAGGTTTGCAGATGTTAAAATACAGCGTAAAAGAATTGAAGGCTATTTTGCTATTAATCCATTAAATTAGCCTCTCTTTCCAAGACAAAGTTAAGAAAAAATTCCATTAATAACGTTCCCATGTGAAAGTGGTCATAAGCATTACATTGGCCCCCTTCATGATAATATTCTGAATTATGCCACTTTTCTTACCTATTTTATATTTCTGCAGGTTGCCTTTGTCACCGATACTAAATTATCCACTTTAGTCTTTAGATTCTCGAAAGATAAAAAGAACAAGCAAATAATTCATTATCTTACAATAACTCAGGCCCCTAGGGCACAATCAAGTGGTTAAGAGCTTTTGTCAAATTCAAATCTTAAAATGGGCTGAAAGGGTCACTTTTGTAACAAACAAAAAAATGCAGAAGTGGATTGCTTGCATTGTTGTCTTCAATGAAATATTGAACTTGCAATAAACAGACATAGCACATAACATACCCACATCACAGAGAAAGCAACAGCTTACATTCAATGCGAACCAGCAGCCATTTTAACTCAAAAATGCGAAACAGGGGAAGAGAGAAAAGAAATTACCCATTTGATTGACGAGTCAAATTTCAGACTCTCCACTTCCGCCATTTTTGTGAATTGTGAGGAAAAAAGGGTTGACTGTAACTTAACTGTTTAATTAATTAAAAAAAAAAAAAAAGGAGAACCACTAATTAAAATGCCACATAAGAAAAATATAGTTATTATATTAGTTGCAATTGCTGATGAAGCATCACTATATGCCCAGTTTTTTTTGCTCCATTGAACTCCTCTCCATTTACAGCAATCGTTTTTTACCTCCTTCACTTCCCCTATAAGGCAATCCAGTACTGATCAGGCTTGTCTTTCCCTCTCCATGCAATAAACTTCAGCATCTGCAGTTGTTAAGTTAATCCAACAGTAGTTTTCTTGTGCAGTAGAATCACAAGTGCATATACAA